AAGGAAGGAAGGAAGGAAGGAGGAAGGAAGGAAGGAAGGAAGGAAGGAGGAAGGAAGGAAGGAAGGAAGGAAGGAAGGAAAAAGGGAAGGAAGGAAAAAGGGAAGGGGGGAAAGAAAGAAGGAAAAAGGAAAGGAAGGAAAGAAAAAAGGAAGGAAGGAAGGAAAAAGGGAAGGAAGGAAAAAGGGAAGGGGGGAAAGAAAGAAGGAAAAAGGAAAGGAAGGAAAGAAAAAAGGAAGGAAGGAAGGAAAAAGGGAAGGAAGGAAAAAGGGAAGGGGGAAAGAAAGAAGGAAAAAGGAAAGGAAGGAAGGAAAAAGGGAAGGAAAGAAGGAAGGGAAAAAGGAGCTCTATAATCCGACATGCTTTAACTCCAGTTGGACCCACAGGCTGCCCTCCCCCATCACCCCAAGGCAGGCTAAGAAAAGGGGTCCAGCCTGGAGATGCAGAGGAAAGGGGGCCACTCACAGAGATCTTGGTGAAGATGGAGAGCAGGAGCGACAAGAAGGACAGGCAGATCCGGATTCGCTCCCCTCCAAAGCGCTTCTGGAGATACTCCGGCATGGTGACGATCTGGGGGGAGAGAGAAAGGTCAGCCTGGAGGTAACGGATGAAGAGCTTTGGGCGGGCAACCTAGTACCAGATCAACCCTCCAACAGGAAGAGTGGCGGAGTTACCGGTTGTGTGCCGTGAAGATGCCCCTCAGGATCTGCTGTGCCCACCCATGAAGGGGTGGGCAAACTCTGGCTCAGCAAGCCAGGATTGTGCCCAAGGGGGAAGCCACAAGGAGACCCTCCCACGCAGCGTCAGGAGTGAAGGGGGGTGGCAAGAGAGAGAGGGGGGGCTCCCACTCACCTCTGACGAAAGGTAGACGGGAAGGAAGAGCCAGGCCAAGGCCAGAAGCACGTAGGTGGCCTAAAAGGAGCCGAGAAGCCACACAGAGGCCATCAGCAGAAGGGCTCAGCCTCAGCCAGGCCCACCCTCTTTGCCAGGCATGCAGCCAGGGTGGGCTCCAACCCCCCCACCCCCCCGGGGATGCTCCAAAGGGGAACGGCTGCTTAAACCCAGATCTGCCCCAGCAAAGTTGAGCCCCTTACATTCCACTCAAAGCCGGCCACCGCGACCCCCCCGGCTGCTCCGCTGCTGGCCAGCCCGATGAAGAGGCCGGCTCCTTCACTGCTGGCAAAGAGCGAAGCACCGATCTGCAAAGGAAAAACCCCGGACGTCCATCTCTGCCAAACGACAACAGGAGCAAAACTCCTTGTGGGGGGGACGGATATTTGATTTATTGGTTAAATTATCTGGGCTGCCCGCTATCGCTATCCAAAGAGACTCTCTGCGGCCTGCGTTAAATTATTGTTGTTTGCTCAGGGAGCAAGGTGTCCTGGGCACCTGAGCGTCACGAGCTGACCCACTAACCGATTAAAACAATAAAGCAAAGAGAAAACTGTGACTCTTGGCCTTAATCGTTAACTGCATTCGGTTTAATTGGTTTTGTAAAATATGCAAATCGTTGGTTTTACTGTATGCTGCCCCCAGTCATCTTGAGCAGCTGTGTAAAATACATAGATTGTACATGATGATATAGGTAGGGAGGTAGAGATAGATAGATAGATAGATAGATAGATAGATAGATAGATAGATAGATAGATAGATAGAGACAGACAGACAGACAGACAGACAGACAGACAGACNGTTCTGGAGAACCGGTAGCAGAAATTTTGAGTAGTTTGGAGAACTGGCAAATACCACCTCTGGCTGGCCACGGAGTGGGGAGGGAATGGGGATTTTGTAGTAACCTTCCCCTGCCATGCCCACCAAGCCAGGCCCACAGAACCAAACTTAGCGAAGATTTTTATGTTGGATTAAATCTCACTGTTGAGTGTTGAAATGTGCAACAAATTGAGTGTGTTTACTATTTAGAGCAGCGGTTTAGTAGAAGTGGAAAATAATTGATCTCAAAATGAGAATGCATAGCTTAGCTTTCCAGTGTGAACCTTTTAAAGAATTTTTAAAGTGTCTGCTTGGGCTGAAATCAAGATAAGTTATGGAGCGAGCATTCCCCCTGTTAACTAAAACCAGAATTGTTTTAAAGAGAAAAAACACAGAGGGTTAACTCAAATGGATTTCTATCGACACCTGAACCAAATGTCTTGTGCCCACAGATGTCTTGCCACCCCGAACTCAATCAATATATTCAGGATACCCTCCACTGCATCAAACCTCTGCTACAGAAGGTAAGTATTAAAACTTTAGTGCTGCATTAGGGAACTTGGCATGGCTAGTCTAGTGAAGAGAAGGACCAGGGGAGACAGGATAGCAGTCTTTCAATATTTGAGGGGCTGCCACAGAGAGGAGGGGGTCAAGCTATTCTCCAAAGCACCCGAAGGCCAGAAAAGGAATAATAATGGATGGAAACTGAACAAGGAGAGATTCATCCTGGAAATAAGGAGAAATTTTCTGACAGGGAGAACAATCAACCCATGGAAGAGAAGTTGCCTTTGGAAGTTGTGGGAGCTTCATCACTGGAAGATTTCAAAAGACTGGATTGCCATTTGTCAGAAATGGTGTCCTGCTTGGGTGGTGGTGGTGGGGTTGGACTAGATGACCTAAAATGTCCCTTCCAACTCTGCTAATCTGTTAGATCTGTTAAATTTCCTGGTGCAGAAAAATCCAATCTGGAACCAGAGGTTTAATCTTCTGAGCTTTCGGACTGGATCCCACCCTCAAGGAATTTCTCTGTGTCCTTTGGGCTGTTGTGTGTGTGTGGTGCTTGTTGTGTGTGGCTTTTTAGATGTTAATTGGGGTGTTGATTGGCTGGCGATTAAGTTGTGGGTTGTTATTTCCTTGTGCTGCCCAGCCCTCGCCTCCTAAGTACTTGATAAGCTGGTGGTAAATCAGCACTCCTGTTGACTGACCAATCACTTCTCTGGCTGTTTTAGTGCCTGCTCTTCCAACAATCTTAATAGCTGCGAAATTCAATGTATGTCCTTGTTTATTGCAGTGTGAGGCTATCAATGAGTTTAAGTCTTCTCATTTGACTGCTCACTGATGGTCTTGCAATCTGGTGGTTAGCTTCCTCCCCGTCCTACCTAGAGGATCCAGTAGATTACATTGGAAGTATGTCCCCTCTCCAAGCAATCTTTACAATGCATAATTTGTCCTCGTACAGTAGACTTCGGGTGATATGCGATGCCCACTCGCAGATCTTGGAAGCTACGTTCTACTGCTTCCGAATTTTTTTTTTGATGTACCAGTTTCCTCGTATTTCGCAGCAATCCGACTTGTGTGAAAACTCAAATCAAGGGAACCAGCTCAACCTCTGGAATTCACAGAGTTCTTCTTCAGAGAGAGATAATATTTATATCACCTTGCTTGTTTTCGCAACCTTTTTCAGAACGACGTGGAAAAAGTGGTAGTAGTCATCCTTGATAAGGAGCACCATTCGGTAGAAAGATTCGTCTTTGAGATCATGCAGCCCCCATTGCTGGCAATCAGGTAAGGGTCCTTGTTTCTAAGCCCCAAATGCTGGTTTGCTGGGTCGCATGCCACACCCACAAAGGTCTTTCCTTAGCAAAAACTCAGTCGCCATCTCTGGTTTATTCTGCAAAACGCAAGAGAAGCAAATATTCAAAACTGCTGAATATTAAGAACAAAGGAAAAGCATTGATTTGCAAATAAAATGAATTAAACACATGGGAGGAAAAAACCATCCTCTTAAGATACAGATTAGGGGCTGCTTTGAGATCCGATCGACCAGGCTGAGTCTGCATCAATCTAGCTCAGAGTTTCTCAGTTTGGCAGCTTGAAGATGTATGGACTTCAACTCCCAGAATTCCTCAGCTGGCTGGGGAATTCTGGGAGTTGAAGTCCACATATCTTCAAGGTTGAGAAACATTGGTTTAATCACTCCATGGCCCATGGTTATTACTATTAGTAGTATTAAAACTTAGAAATATGGAGCGTCATAAAGGGGAGAATATAATTGTAAAACAATATTTAACCCAAGTTAGGGCTAGCCCTCAGGAAGGCGGTAAACCAGCATCTCAAGTGGATTTTCAAAGTCAGTTTGCGGCCTAGTCTTAAATCTTGAAAGGAAATCCTTACAGACCAATGATGACTCTGTATATTGGGTTTCTGTCTGGATGGTCTCTTGTGACGAGCCAATAGACAGAGAAAGGAAGCAGTAGGCTTCCTCCCATATTTGGGCATACCAGGGGTTGTGACACTAAATACATATATGTATTTAGTAATGACAGAGAGTGGAAGTGTGACCTTCCTCCCACACTTGGGCATACCAGGGGTTGTGACACAAAATACATACATACATACATACATACATACATACATACATACATACATACATACATACATACAAAATTTCAGCTACTTTATATATATATATATTACATTTCAACTACTTTTTCCTTCTCCAGCTCCGATTCCCTGCTCACCCATGTGGAGCAGCTTCTGCGGGCTTTTATCCTGAAGATTAGCGTTTGTGATGCTGTTTTGGACAACAACCCTCCAGGTAGGACAGTCAGCAGAGATGGTAATCTAGCTGGCAGCTGGCCATGGGGTGTTTGGGGGTTTCAGGGCGATATTAGGACTTCATTTTAGCTTCACCATCAGCTGAAGAAAACACCCAATCCTGAATGCGGGACTTTGGTTTGTTTCAAACAGTTGTCTTCCAGATGAATTTTTCTTCTTCTAGCAATTCTGGGGCAAATGGAAAAAAAAACAGTATTTTTTTTCCGGAATATTTATAACCTCAGTGGTAAAATAGTGCAGGAATTCTCACTATGCACCTCTCCACTTCGCAGGGACCAAAATATGCAGGTGGTCCTCAACGTAATGACCACAAGTTTCAGTTGTTATGTGAGACAAGTTGTTAAGTGAGTTTCGCCCCATTTTACGACCGTTCATGCCACAGCTGTTGAGTGAATCATTGCAGTTGATAAGTTAGTAACGTATCTGGCTTCCCCGTTGACTTGGTCATTTCGCAAAAGTTGATCCCATGACCCCAGAACTCTGCAACCGTCATAAACACGAGTCAGTTGCCAAACCTCTGAATTTTGATCATGTGACCCATGGGGGTGGGGTGGGGGAGATGCATGCAAGGTGGTAACTTTGAAAACCGGTCGTAAGTCGTATGTTTCGGTGCCGCTGCAACTTCGAACCGTCACTAAACGAATTGTTGTAAGTTGAGGACTATTGTATTTAATCACAGGTTGGAACTCTGAATCGGGCCTCTTTTATTTAAAATCTGGGTCGCGCTCTTTCTCTACCTCATTTGTTGCAGGCTGTACTTTCACCATCCTGGTGCACACCCGCGAAGCTGCCACGCGCAACATGGAAAAAATTCAAGTGATCAAGGTAAGGGATGGCGCTGTTCTAACCGAGGCTTCCCCAGAAGCCGAGTCCTCGTCCTGATAAACCCCTTGTATTTAATTGATGGTGAATTCCTCTCCAGCAAAGTCTTTCCTCTCTCACCGTCTTTCAAGATAGTTCACAATTACCGACCTTTATCAGGCTTGGAGAGTGGCCAGGCCGATATTTTTCAGACACGCCAAGAATGCAGGAATGAATTAATTGCCTCCTGCAAAGCTCTTCCGTCCCAAGGACCGGCCCATAGATTTCCACTGCTCTCCTCTCCTTTGCCTTCTGCGCATCTGCGCGTCAGGCACTGGGCTGAGCTGTTCTTACTCTTCTTCATCAGCCACCTCCAGATCGGGGTGGTTGGGTGGGTGGCTGTTGATTCTCTATCCAAGGGCTGACGGACGGCCCAGGCTCCGCCTCTCTGTCTTAATACTAATATAATTATATTAATACACTATATTAATATTTATTATGTTTGTTTTGTAAGTATAAATATGGCTATACATTCAGTGTGGGATTATATGTATGTATGTATGTATATAAAAGGGACGCAGTGGCTCAGCAGCTAAGACGCTGAGTTTGTCGATCAGAAAGGTCGGCAGTTCAGCGGTTTGAATCCCTAGCGCTGCATAACGGAGTGAGCTCCCGTGACTTGTCCCAGCTTCTACCAACCGAGCAGTTTGAAAGCACGTAAAAATGCAGGTAGAAAAATAGGGGCCACCTTTGGTGGGAAGGTAACGTTCCATGCGCCTTCGGCGTTGAGTCTGCCAGTCTGCCAATTCTCTGCCAGCTCCATTCCCTCTTCCCCCTCGGAGCTCTTAGTTTGCCTTGATGCCAGCCTTGACTCCGCCTCCTCCTTTGATTCGGCTGCTGGAGGGGCCGGCGACCGACAGCCCACAACATTATGGGCACCTGGCCAATAGTTTGCATGAAGACGCTGTTATGTTTCCCATCCTGTAGGACTTCCCCTGGATTCTGGCCGATGAGCAGGACGTCCACATGCACGACCCCCGGTTGATCCCCCTGAAGACCATGACCTCCGACCTCTTGAAGGTGAGCAGATCCACCTTCTGCGGCCAGCCAGTTTGGAAGAGGACAAGCTGACCATTAGATCCAACCCAGTGGT